GTTGATTTCTTAATTTAGAGTCTCCCTTTATTAAAGAGGTTTTTTTAAATTTAAAACGTTGGTGATATAACAGAAAATAGCTTAATTCAGAAACGATTTAAGTTTAAAATTGAATCGATGTTTTACTTTCATGATAAATTTTATGAAGTTAGCTCTAGGCTAGGTGATCCCACACTACGTCTTTACTTTAGGCTTACTATACCAACACTCATTACACATATAAGGTTCTGCGGACTTACAACGCTAGAAACCGGGTTTCAATACTCGTGGTGGGTAGAGCACAGACAGCCCATTGTGTAGCTTTGTGCATAATTACAAACAAACAAACTTATAAGGTTTCACGATAACAAGTTTGATGACGCGTTCGAAAAATCAAGTTTGTACATCTCGATCGTGCCTGCTAATTTGTAAATCTGGTTGACAGAAACTTTATCTTCTTTCACTCCTTATATAACCCAATCACGGTAAATCTACCTTAGAAAGTCATATATAATTCACGAACATACAGCGTTTCTTAACTATATATCAGCGAACAGAGCATTACTACATTTCTGTGAAATAACAGTCTCTGAACCAATCATCTGACAATAACGCTAAGTTCCAGTTAATTACGTTGTAGAGCTTACTTCCCCTGTTAAGATGGTTGTGACTTCGTTAAGTTGTGCAAAAATCATCAATTAACTTTTGAAAATTTCTGTCAGAAGTTTACTATGTGAATGCTACACTGCATTGCACACTCTTCATAATTTTTTAACGGTAGAAATCTTTGACGAACTCTTGCCTGTTGAATGGAGAATTACACAAAGTTTCCTATTTAGGATCTCCACTGTCAAGAGCTGTGTCATTGAAAAATACAAATACACATCTGAAAGGTCTAAAAACGTTTCACTCAGATAGGGGTTGAAACTGAAAAATTAAGATATAAACTGCGTAACTTAAGAAGGTTAAAAACTGTTTATAGGGACATGTAATGAGATAAAGGCTGTAATACTTCTGTAATATATGATAACGTATTCTTATTATTTAAAGCCAACTCTGTTTCTTCTGGTGGGCGTTTTGTTTTTTAATTTCGCGCAAAGCTACTCGAGAGCTATCTGCGCTAGCCGTCCCTAACTTAGTATTGATAGACTAGGTCCCCAAACAGCTAGTCAACAACCACCCATCCCAACTCTTGGGCTACATTATAACGCCCCCACAGCTAAAAGTGGCGAGTTCTTTCAGTGACAGAGATTCGAATCCGCAAACCTCAAATTGAGAGACGAGCGTT